GAGTAACAGCAATAGCAAGAATATAACTGGGAGGTTGAATTGTGCCTGTGCAATGATAAAGGTGCTATCTAAATGGCAAGGTCATGTAGGGATATGAGACTCTCAGAACAAGAAAATGCCTCAATTAACTGGATGTCCTTTTCCTGTGCACAGTGGTTAAAAATATGTCCCACTGTTAATCACACTTTATTGGCAAGGCAAGAAATGTTCTGTGGTTCCAATTAACACACCAAATGTGAAAAAGAGTGAAAAGAAGAAGAAAACCAAGTACTCAAAGAACTAGTACAGAAGCTCAGGGACCAGATCAGCTCTGATCTCCAAAGTGCATTCCTTGCACTGTTTCTGATTGATTGTGGTTGGATGGCAGAAGCATTTATTTATTGTGTGAAGTTACTGATGTGTCACCAGTGGTGTTTAATTCATGAAAATACTACTGATCTAGATAACTAAGAATATGAAATTGTACTTTTTGGAACATTACCACAATAACTGTGTGCATTACTATGATTAAGAACAACACATGATTTAATATTTTACTGAGAAAGTCCATTGATCGCCACTATATCATCTCCAAAACACCCTGCTACAAAGATTTATTTTTTAAACATTTACATCCCCAACTATGTAATGGAGATGCAGCTTAAGTATAGCGTAAGTAAGCGTAAGTCTGAAGTTTGTTCACTTGTGTTATAAAGATTATCCTGAATTGCTGGTGTCTATTTCACACTTAGGTTTTTTCTGCATAGCAAACAGATCTTTTTGCTTCAGGGCAAAATTTCCAAGTTCACTCACTTTTCAAACCTCTTTAGGTGAACCATTTTCCCCTTTGTCCCGGACAGCATTTTTCAACTATGAACTCTTACAATTACTTGTAAAAAAACGGAGGACCAATTTTACTCTGTAGTTAAAAAAAAATTAAACCCTGGTAAAAAAAAAAAACTGTAATTTTCCTAATCAAACAGAGCAGAAAAGAAAGAGTTACAAACGACTCCGGGCATTCATTTCCAGGATTAACCTGTGAGGCAAACAGCTGATCCATTCAGCAAAAAAGAAAACTTCTCAAGAGAAAAGCACTAGAAATTAGGTATGTACAGTATTACGTTTCACACAGGAATAAACAATAGACTGGCCAGTTATAAGTTCTCCTTTTTTTAGAAAAAAATGGACTTTTCCAACTGTCTTGTGCAAACAGAAGTTTCCCTTGTGTTGATTTTTCTAAACTAAGAGTGGAAGTGTTACTCGAGAGGACTTTACTTGTTCAAGCAGATGTTAATTCCACATTAAAAGATAAAAAGGAGAAACAACACAACACAATCTTTTAGCTACAGAGGTCCTTCAGGAAGGTGGGAGCAAGGGGAAGAAATGAAAGAGAACATGACACAGGGGGCAAAACAGCTGGAAATTGGATGCATAAACTGTCGAATCGAGAGATTTGGAAAGAAATCAGTGGATTTGTCAGAGAAGATGCGATCTTAATTCAAAGATAATTTCGTCTTCTGAGGTCTTTCAGCAGGAAAAAAAAGGTCAGGGTTATGGCTTGGAGAAGTAAAACGGGAGACTACCGGGCTTGGAGAGATTTTGACGCTTTGATCCTCATAGCTCCATGAAGCACTCGACCGGTCTTCACTCATTTCCCCAAAGGCACTGGCAGTGTACTTTCTGCGAAAGATCCAGCCCTCCATTTTTTTAAGCTTCATCCAACACAGGGTCGCAGGAGAGCTGGGGGCTATCCTGGCAAGCGATGGGTGCAAGGCAGGGTACACCCTGGACAGGACGCCAATCCATGGCAGGGCACACAGACAATACCACTAACACACACTCTCATTCTCACAACACGGCTAACTTTCCCAGAAGCCAGATAACCTACCAGTATGTGTTTGGACTGTGGGAGACAAGCACTTGGAGGAAACAGGGAGGAAACCAGGTGAACACAGGGAGAACCATATGAACTCCACACAGAATTCCAACCACTGTGCCACCATGCTGCCTTCTGCAAAAGACACAATAAGGAAATTAATCGACATGCATGATGCCCTCTGGGTGAACTTCAAAAGGCTCGTGTATCAGAGATCTCAGTGCCGATAGAATTTTAAAGGCCAAATGAAGAATTCAGATGGTCCATGTTTTCTGCTTCTAGGCCACCATGTGTCTAACATTAAGGACTAAGGCTTTTACAAATGACTTTAAGATTGTTCCAGTTCACTCGGCTGTACTTTCCAAACCCTGACAGTAGATGATAGTGTCAAAGGTCACGTTTAAAAAGGCAGCAATTTTATTAGGCAGAATCGTTCCTGGGGAGAAAGCATGTATTCCTCTCGGGAGACAATTTTATGTGCAGGTGCTTAAAATCCATTTAAAAAAATAAAAAGCTTTGATGTGAAGTTACTGAAATTCCTTAAAGCAACAGGACACCTGAGTTGTATGCTCCACACTGTTCATGTGATCAACACACTGGAGCTTTTAAAAAGATTAAAAAAAAATATTTCATTCTCATCCTCCATCTGTATCAGACATGGTCTCATACTGTACAGTTTAAAATTATACACCACTTGCACATGTCTAAATCTAAGCTTGCTAAAATTTCTCCTACTTTGAACCAATGTTTGACAGATGTGGACACTTCCCTGCCACTCTCATACACGTTTTGGGCTTATCCTAAATTGGCTCATTTTAGGTCTTCCATTTTTTACACTTTCTCTCATATTACTTACCATGAAATCAAACCCACTCCTTTTATTGCTATCTTTGGTGTGCCACATGATAACCTCACTCTCTCAAAAATGCAACTCTCCTTGCCATCCAGTATGTCTTATCCTCTTTCACCAGGGACAGCAACTTCCAAGGACTGAATGCTCAGTGAATGCTTGGTGTGCTTGGTGAGAAAACGTTGGCTTAACTTGCATGGTTAATGGGCAGCCTCCTGACCATAGAACCCCATTCAGACTGAGTGAATCCAGGGGTAGCTTTAAGGTTGAGATGGGGCGGAGGAGGGATGTTTGAGTCAAAAGTGAAGGGAGGCATTGGAGTTCAGTTTATGTAGCTAGTTTGATGATGATGATGATGATGATGATGATTAGGTGCAGCGGTCTGACATTGTTGTTGCTGTGCCTCCCGAACTTCAGTTAATAACTTCCATTTAATTGGATGCAAGCTTTTTTCAACAGATCAGAGATACACACTTAGTGGAGGCAGCATTAAGTTTTTTTTAAACTTGGCAACCATTTCTGAACTATTTTGAGAATCTGAGCCTCCCTTCTACACCCTAAACCTTAATCTGTAGCTAATTGGCAACTTAGATGATACCTGATAGGACTGGCCCTCCACTTTTATTTTGCTTCTTAAAGACTGTTAGTGTAATTTTGCTCTTTTTTGAGTGTTCTGTCTCCACCTTTCATTTTGACTCCTTTTTGTGAGGGAATAATTTGGGAAGGACTGGGGCAGAGGATTAGAAAGTCTTTATTTCAAGATATTCTCAAATCACACAATGTACCAGCGATCTACATGCTCTGTGACATTACTTTAATGTGTAACTTGTGCAGCATGTATTTTTAGCAATATTTCCTTCTTGTTTATTTTCAGTGACAGTATACAGAAATGGACATATGCTTTGGAGTCTCTCTGCCACCCATGCGATTGCACACCAACCATAATCTTTGCGAGGACAAAATAAAAGTCAGAAATTGTTTATGAGTTTCACTGAAAGAATACGTTTTTTTTGTACCGACTGGATTGAGATGGACAGTAAAGGCAGAGGGGGGGCAGTGGTGTTTATGTCAACACTCACAAGAGAAACAAATCTTTTGAGCCTGCTGGTGTGCACCATTTATTAATGAGCTTTGAGACATTTTAGAGACTAATGGGGTTGTATCCCTTTTGAGGGTAAGCTTGTGACATTACAAGCCTCACTAAACCAGCCTTTATCAAAGGAATTATGACAGCCGCACCAAGGATTTTTCTGAAGTTTTCCAGTGAAGATTACAGTCATGAAGAACAGGTAGACATTAAGATCATTTCAGTACATTATTTAAACAGTTGTTAAATGTCATGACACTAATCATACTGGCGACAGGAATTATGCAGGCATCACAATGTAAAGTAGATTTCCTATCAGTAGAAATTAGCCCGTAGGCCTAAATGTAGCTCAAAAAGACTGGAAGACATGCATAGGCTGTGAATCATTTGCTATGGAGTGTCACCAGTTTAGACCTCACTTTTACCAAAAAGGGTGTATGGTTTCCTTTGGCAAAGCTTCCTCGATCAATCTGACCCATTGTCTTTTTGTGCCTTGGTTTAGAAGACATAAAAGGCCACATGTGCGTTCAGTCTCACAGACGTCAGCCTTTGTGTGGTGAACCAGAAGCTGTGACTCGAGTGGCTAATATTTTAGTAAGTGCGAAAGCTAAGAATGAAAACTTGATAATGCCCAAGTGAGGTAATGTGCTCTTTCCGTCTCAGTAAGGGGTTCAGGGTTGATTACAGGAGTCTGATTACACCATTCTGAATCTGCAGATGAGCACAGCTTTTTATAAACCACATTCGTGACAATTCAATGATATTCTTGTTCAACTCGACTAAAATACTCTCAGGTTTGGGAAAAAATGACTTACAGTAGCTTGCATCAGAATATAATAAATAGGGCACACAACTGCTCTTACAAGAATGCTGGTACAGGACTGAGCTGGGAGAATATATGTTTTTTTAGTAGGGCTCAAGGGGAACTTTTGACTGCAGATATAGAGATCTGGACCTGTCTGACCTGGCGTATATCGAGGCTTGTCTGTTATCTCGATATCTTTCCTAAGATCACTGATCCTCGATAGGGATTTTTAATGTCAGCTTTGTAAAAGAAATACTGTTCAACATATTATCGATTTAAATCCAACTTTAGTGAATAGTTTCATATTGTTGACTTGTAAATATTTAACAGTCTCAATATCAGTTGCATTTACTTAAAATGTTACTTACATGCCCTACAGTTCAGGCAACAAAACCCACCATAAAACTGTTAAGATTAATCTTTAATTTACTTTGTGAGCATAAATCGTGAAGACATGAATCTTGAAGAAAGCAAGTAAGCAAGATGTTTTTCATTAGAAAGTGGTCTTTTTTTTAATAAGTAGAAAGTACTTTCACTGTGGACTTCAATCGTGTTTGCCAAAAACATCCTCCACTAAGATAGAGTAGTTGATTTTTTTCACTGCTGGGCCTGTGGGTTCTCCATTCCAGCCTATATCAAACTGAAAACAAAAAGCATCAGGACATAAGATTAAGGAAACACAAACATTTTGTCTTTCTCCTGCTCGCAGAGAACATGGATCAACGGATTAATTAATTGATAACCGACATTGAACATTGAAAGCAAAATAACTGCCACATTGCTTATTGTAAAAGCTGATAAGGACACATTGTGGCCAACTTGTATATAATATCAAAATTGGGCACAGTCTGGACTTGAATGTGTGGGTATCACAGTTCATAGCAGAGGACATGACAGTTTTAAGTCACAAAGGTGCTAGTAAAGCATCTGATTAACTGCAGCAGACATGGTCAACTTTTGACAATATCTTTATCTCGCACTCTTCACCACGGTGTCGCTGCACGTAGGTGTACAGTACTTAAAACCCGAGAATCTTAAGTAGAATACATTATTTTATTTTAAACAAATGTCCAACCATCTTTGGCAACTGCTGCATTCAGAGCCGATCTCGACAGACACAGGGCACACGGCAAGACAGCGGCCTAGATGGGACACCAGTCCATCACAGGGCACACTCGTGAGTGTGCACACTGATATACAAGCGTATTCATTCCGAAACTTATAGGAAGGCAATTTAGAAAGTTAGGAAAATGTAATTGTGACAGGAATGCAACATACTTGTTCACTCATCACAGTACTTCAGGATGCCTTAGTTAACCTGAACAGATCTGCCTTAGAAAGCTTCTGTGTTCGATAAGTTGATAAAAAGAGTAATGGCTACGAAACTACTTGGGTCCTTTTGGGACACATTTTCCTTAGTTCAATCTATAGAGTAATTTAACAATTATTTTCAAATGAATCAGTCATTTGAGAATGTTATTTTTATCATTTGTTTTTAAATCTGGATGCCACGTCACGTGACAAAGCAGATGCTGGAGGCAGGTGAACATTCAGACAGATCACAGAGAGAGGGAGTGCCTCATTTTTCTTCAGTGTGTCCGCACAGCTCTTCCACAAGAGCTTTGTAGCTCACTGTCAGCTGGCTGAGAGGTTTGGGCTTAACCTGTACTGCAGAAAATAGCTAGAAACCAGTGACAGAGAAACAGAAAGAAAATGAACAAAAGAGATAGAAGAAAAGCAGAATGTTGAGACAGTCATTTAGCCCACTGTGAAAAACCGTGTAAGTAACTATTGAGTGCATATTTTGTCACTCACATTAAAATGATACATTTCTTAAGAAATTGTATATACATGACCTAGGCGTTACTCATGTGATGATGATGATAGTAAAGGCTGGAAATTGACTACAACTAGACACGAAAAATACCACAAAACATCTTAAAATGGGATTTTAGATAATCTAAAATCTTTTTCATTGCTAAACAGCAGACTTTCAAACACGCCTCTGGAGGACAGAGCCTAACAATAATGTTACTGCTAGGCAGCATCTTGCACCTGCATTGCCTGGACATTTCGGGTTTGCATAGCATGCTGAAAGTGTATATTCTCTGAGGACTGCGCACTTGGCTGGTTGCTCTTTGATTCGACTTTGATTCGCGCCTTTGGTGAAGCATCACAGCCTAAATCTATGGGCCCACACAGAGTCATCTTGCTAATTCCTGTAATTTTTGCAGCTGTTTTATGAGACGCTGGAGGAAAAGGAAAGCACTAAAATAAGATTTACTTTTACACTACCTTAAAATCATTTGAGTGACATTGTAAAGAGGTTCAAACAAGAAGTGCCCACTTCCCAGCTGGTCTGCAAGTACCACATAGAGCTTCTGAGAGTAGACTCACCTTGATAGGTGTTTCAGGGAGAGCTGTGGGTACCGGACTGTCTCTCCAGTTTATCGCTGACAGGAAGCCATTGTATTCCACCTCTTCTTTGCCATTTTCAAACCTACATTCATATTCGAAATAAAGAACTTGGCTAAGTTATTAATATTGTGAATACCTTATAAACCACTGTCTAAATCATAAATCATTGCCTTACAACACACATCCATTATCTAGAATTAAGAAAACATAAGAATTATGAACATTTTTTCTAACCTCTATGAATCTACAATTAGTATAGAAACGACATCTACAGAACAAGAATATAAGTTCAATTAAGTTCAACATCAGGCTTTGACAGATAAGACATTATACATTTGCACAATTCTAGCCAATAGGTGTTAGTTATAGCCTATTAAACTTGTTCAAAGTAAAGGATTAACCTTATCAGAACAGATCCATCCATTTCAATGTATGACGTTTGATAGCAAGAACAGCCTCGGATTGCAAATGAACCTTTATTCAATCCCTAAACTGTCACTGGACAAAATGAGATCTAACAATAACATATAAGACCATAAAAAGGTCAGCAGAAACCTTAAAGAGGCAAAGTTATATTTTGTTTGTTCTTTTTTTCTGCTTCAAACCTACTTTTCCAGGATGGCTTTCAGCAGGTCATCAGGCAGAGGGAGCTTGAAGGCTTTGCAAATCGTCCTGGATTCCCAGACAGGCAACAACCCAGTCCTGCGCACCCAGATGAAAATAATGACACGTATGACTACTGACCAATAAAAGGTCATGCTGCATCAAAATACACTGAAGGAAGTAACAATAGCCACGAGACATTGAACAGCATCTTCCATACAAGGTGTCTATGATCATTCAACGGTCAAACACTACAAAAGGTTGTCAAAATTAGTTGGCTCACAAAAAAACAAACATTTTCACTTCTATCACCCAGTTTGAGAACATTTATACCTGTGGATTAAATGGTTGAAAAAGTGAGGGGTCCTTGTAAATGTTCCTGACCACACTAAAGAGAGCATGAGACCTCAGCCTGTAGGTACATTAATTCTACTTATGAATACAATATATCTTCAATCATAGAATATTTAATCACGAAATGTGTTTGACAAAAAAAAAGCAATGTACAGGTATTATACTTACAGTTCTCTTTTTTCACAATCACATGAATACTTGATAAACCCATTATTATTAAAGTAAAACCTAATTTTTAAAGTAAAAAGTATACTCTTGAAAACACCACTTATTTAGGAAAATACCACTACATTTTGAAATGTTAAGATGTAAAAGTTTTCATAAAGGTTTAAGAAGAAAATGTTTAGCAATGTGCTTGAAAACTGTGATAATAACAGAAGGAAAAGATTCCTAAGTAGTAACAAGTGATGTACTGTTTAAAAAATACTATATAAACTATGGGAAATCCTACTAACAGGATTATTTTCAATCTGCATAATAGTGTTTTATAGAGGGGTGTTAGATATTGGTATGTGGGTGTCAAAAGATTTTTTGCTACGGATATGATGGTGTGAATATCAGCTTTCTAAAATAAAAGCATTGCTCTGCAGATTACAACAGGCTCTGAAAACCTAACCTTCTCACTTGCCCAAAAAAAATCACAGTACCGCAAGCCTATGAATGTGCTAAGTCATAATTTCAGCCACACAGCTTGCTACTTACATTAACCAATGTTTTAGGGCTCAGGGCTAAATGTACCAGGAATGCCTTTCCAGTGTTAATTTTATTTTCCCAAATGAATTGACATAAGGTCTACCACAACTGACATCTTGAAAGAGAATATGACCTCTGCTAATTACCTCTTTATTTGATGAGACAACACAAAACGAACATTGTATGAGACCAAATATAAGCCTCAGATTACAAACTGAACTACACTAATGTGAAAATGCACAACACTGGTTCTTTTTTACTTGGGTATCACAGTTGTATTCTTGGTGTGATCCACCTTCTTATCAGAGCTCAGATTTCGAGTTGGCTGGTATACAATTATTTTTTAATAAATGGGAAAGGGAGGTATTGCTGGGTAAGAAGATGTTTTGAACGTGCCATCACAGGTCTGTCTGTTTACACATTATTGCAGAGAACAGAGTGGAGACAGATGAAGCAGTGCAGTGTTTCTGTCTGGAGTCCATACCACAGAAAAAAGCATACACTCCCTACCAAGGTATTATCTTATGTTCCCCCTCCATACATTACGAGCTGATAACTGAGTTTTACAGGTTTGTGGTCACCCCTCCCAGCTAAGAATAAGAAACTACTCGTATCTTGATTACCATGTGTAGGAACACATTCTATTGTGCCTTTGTCTGAATTCTGTAGAAAAAAATAAAATTCTTTAAGTAAAAAAATAAATAAATTTAAACAATTTAAAAATATAGCTATTAGTCACTTTGCAATGAGCTGCATTTTGCATCAGTTCTCCTATGTGACACTGTGCTGCCAGAGCAAAGAAAGATCATGTCATTACTTCTGTGCATGTCACAAGAGTTCTTCCAAGAGACCATAAATACGAGATCACATGCAATTTAAATGTACATTTCAAAGGAAGCAAGCACAAATCGTGTAAAAAAAATCCCATAAAACATTTATGGGAGAGTGAATAACAGCTTTATACTGCTGTTAAGGGATCTTATTAATAATTGGCTGACAGGGAAGGTAATCTTAGGAACACCCAAATGCATAAATATCACATCAATGCATAATGTGGGGAATCTGTGTGATTATTACTATTCTGTTGCTCTCATTCAACCCCAGTAGCCTCACTGAGTCCAAACTCTTAGTTTATGTTTCCTTTGCTGTTTTTTAGTTTTCAGCAAAATTGTATTATGTTTGGCTAAGATCACCTTAATAATGTCAAGGTGACCAGATGTTCATGCAAATACACCCAAACATCTAAATGACCTTTCTGCTTCTTGTTTCATTCTTAACTGTCCTGCATTATTCTCTTGTATTCACATTATTTTGTATAGCTGATACTTACAATAAAGGTACTGTATCTGCTTGGCTTGCTCTATCTTTCAGCTCATTTGCTTATTTATTAAAGTGTAATATATGAGGCCAATGAATATTAGGTATTCTTTGTGTGAAAAAATTCAGGCTTACTTGGGTTAATTCCACTGTTGAGACTAAAACCAGTTTTAATATATTTTCTAAATATGGTTCAGAAATAACCCAAACACTGTTTTGTTTTATACTTGAGTGGATTTTACCACTCATGAGAACACAGGAAATGCTTAGTTTAGTAGGTAAAGATCTGAAATTGTATCCCACCATTTATTGAAGGAAGCCATGTAGGCTTTGCTCAAGACTCATTTTAACGTGTGGCGACCAGGTACTAGTTACACGGGTGCATAGTATAATGAAAAGTGTTTCTCAGTAGTCTCTCAGGTGCGGTATATACATGTATATAGAACAGCAGACACGACAACAGACAGAAAATACAATAACAATAAGTGTAAACAACAGTATGGTACCAGTGCGACAGTACCCATATCTGTTAAAAACTGTGCAAAAGTACACAAACAGATCAAAACAGTGCAAAATAATACGGCAAACAGTGCAAAATAATACGGCAATTATCAAATAGTACAACTATCAAATAGCAAATGCTAGACGTCTAACAGTCACAGGTGTTACTACCGTATTTTGTGAATAAATGCCCCAGGATGTATAAAAGACTTTTGAGGTATATCTATTGGGAAATGGTACTGTACTGTATGCATGTGAAAGTGGCATGACAGCATGGTCATGGCACTACTGCTTGTTTGATTCCGGCTGGGGGCTTCTGCCTCTGTGGAGTCTGCATGATCTCTCAAGGTTTGCATAGGGTTGTGCAAACAGGTCTCTGGCCTGCCTTCCAGAGACATTCTAGGAAAGTCCACTGGATCAGTCCAGGAGGAGGTGAGCCAGGCATTACAGCTCATTACTCCTCCTTGTCCAGAATAGCTTTTCTCCACTATTTGAGAATGGGTCAATACCTCATAGTACAAGCACACAGCTACTAGGAATATTTCATTAGCTGCATCTTAAGTGCAATCTAGAAAATTGTTTAAATGTTTTGTGTACCTGACTAATATAAATAAGGAGAAGATATTTTAAAAGACTAAGTATACTTCTGTACAACTGAACAGATAAGCACTTTATCATGTTCAGCAAAGTATTTTCACTTTCTAAATCTGTTTTAAATCATCTGTTTTAAATTACTGCACTGAAATCACTGTGACTAATTGAAACATACGTCCTGGCTACTAGCCATTCAGACAGGTAGATATATGGCTGATTGATCGCATTTTTCTCTCCCTTCCTTGGACAAAACTAAAAGTCCTCTGTGTGAAGAAGTGTTGAAGTTGAAGAGGTTAATGAAGGTTTCAAACGGGGTGGCGGTGGGCGGGGGGGGTTATGCGAGGTGAAGGGGCAAATTAGTACCTCTTTTCGTCTGCATGCATGAAAGCGTTGGTCATGTCAGGGAAGCTCTCAAAGTGCTTCTTCCTCAGCAGTTCCTGGGCCAGAGCCTTCAGGAAGCCAAGGTCTATCTCAGTTTGCTCCTGGATACAATAGTGGCGCCCAATTGTCATGATTTCATGCTCAGACATTCCTCCTCCGGCCATGTCCATCAGCAGATTCCTAAAGACAAACAGCACCACTTAAACACTGGACAATAATAAAAAAAAAACATAATTCAAGTTCGCACAGTTAGTCCTAAAACCAAAGCCATGTTGCCATTTTAAATTCCTGCAGGAAATTCTGCTTTTAACGTAGTGCTTTTTTGTAAAACATTAAACATCAGTAAAAACATTAGAATTGTTTAAGCCACAATCGGTAGCTCTCGGTGCAATTCCTGGGGTGTTATCTGTATGGAGTTTGTATGTTCTCTCTCCAAACTGGTAGATTAACTGGCTTCTAGGAAAATTGGCCTTAAAGTGAGTGTATGCATATCTGTGTCTGTGTGCTCCATGATGGAAACATGGAAACATAAAACCAGGTGGACAGCACACTTGATGGGCCGGAGTGAGGCACATCTGGCATCTAATTTTAAGATGTCTCATACCTGAATGGCTCATATGCAATCTCTCCTGTGTTTTCTGGGTCAATCATCATAAATGATTGCTTGATCTCCTTCATCTTTGGCTCGGTGATGGACCTCAGTTTGCTTATGATGGTTCCAATGTTTCCTTTGGGGAACTAGGTGAAACAAGAAAGCACCGTTTATCAGGAGAGCTAAGATGTCTGCAACCAAAGACAGGAAGTGGGTGATTAATAACAGCGTCAGGATGCGATGATGCTGGGAAGACAAGTATTATTTTTAATACTGCAGTTCTTAGAAAGAATGTAAGCCCTAACGTCTATAACCTTTATACCAGGGCATGTAAGATAATGATAAACAGGAATGTTGTGGATGAGATAGGCTGCTAAGATGATCTATTCCTGGTGGTCCCCCTCACACATTTTGCAGCCTTTTATTGCTTTCTTCACCTGCTGGGCAGGGCTGAACAATGCTCACATTGTTGCCATCAGCACACCATCCCTGCTGATTCAGAACATTCATTAACCCTACCTCACAACGGCCCACGTGAAGATGAAAACATAATCACATTTGCAAGATAACTCATTCCTGCTTAATGGAAAAATCTACAGAATAAAATGGCAAATTATGGGTTCAGGTCAAACAATCCACCTATCCAAGTGCTTTATCCACAGCAGGGTCACAGGGGAGCTGAAGCTTATCTATGGCAACCAATGGGTGCAAGGCAGGATACACCCTGGACGAGATGCCAGTCCACTGCAAAGAACACGCAGACATGCCAGGGCCATTTTTTCCAGAAGCCAATTAACCTACCAGTGTGTATTTGCATTGTTGGAAGAAACCGGAGCACCCGCAGGAAATACAAACACGGAGAGAACATACAAACTCCACACAGATGGCATCCCAGGAACTGAACCCAGGGCCCTAGCACTGCAAAGCAGCAATGCCAACCATTGCGCCACCATGCAGCCCTGGTCAAACTATGCCAAACTTTATCTTTCTGGATCTTTAAACCACCAATAAACTTACTAAATCAAAGCTATAGAATAACAAACATGAAATATGTAATACCTAATTTTTGCATTACACTAGAGTGGTATTGAAATAAGCTTTTATGTGTTTTGTTTTAACTAATACAGAGGAGTAAATTCATCTCCTTTAGTGGAGCTTCAGCTCCCTTTATTGAAGATGAATACTAAATATATTTTCCTTTGTTTGCAATGTGTTTCAGATAGTTACAACCTGAAAAACTGTTAATGATATTCGCGTGTTACCCAACTGCCTACCTTGTGGTTCTGCTTGCAGATAATACACTGCAGATACACACTTCTGCTTAATGTTTACAGGTGCTTAATGGTACACAAATTCTAAAAGAGTATTTCCTGAAATCTCTCCCTCTTGAGTGGTTAAAGGAGAAGTCAAAACAGTTCCGTAATAATAAAATGGGCATTCTGGTAGAACAGGCATCTCCAATACTGGTCCTGGAGGGCTGGTGTGTCTACAAGTTTAGAGTTTATCTGTGGTCTTAATGACCTGAATCAGCTCTTTACTGGCTTCTCCTGTCTCTTTAGCTGCTGCTTTAAAGAGACTTAGAAATCTGCAGACAACCCGGCCTTCCAGGGCCAGGACTGAGAAACCCTGCAAAAGACATACAGCATAGGCTAAGTGTGTTGAAATGAAATGTGATTAAGGTAAGAAAAGGTCAAGAATTTATCTTCTTTTTGTATACCCTACCAAACATTTTTGAATTACCTTGTATATACGAAGAATGACAGGCTAAACATATTCCTTAGTCCACCCCATCAAATATCTTGGGCCAAAGCCAAGCCAAAGTGAATATAATAACATGGCCAATTTCCTCCCATAGTCTATACTCTACTTACATTCATTATGTTTTTTTAAACTGCGAATAAATTTTATTTTTAAAGTACATGGAACTCACCGGCTTTTGTTTTTGTGGTATCCACAGCAAAATCCTTGTCCAATGCCTATTTACCAATCTTTTAAAATTAATCTTTTGGGAGATTAACATGACCAATTTTTTTGTATCAGCTGGTGTTATCATAGTGTAGCAACGGAAATAATCTATTAGGTGTAACCAAGAAACAACACTTAAATGTCATCGGACTGCGAGGATGTCTGCACTAACCCATGATTTTTGCTAGCGTGTGATAGTGCTGGAAAGCATTCAAATCAAGCAGCTGTTTTAATCTAAGCGGAGCAGACAACAATGGGCTTTATCTGCAAGGAGATGGAATTCGCCTGAAAACAGAAAGCAAGAAGTACACTTGCACAGAAAGGTAACGGACAACTTGTATTAAGATCCACTGCGGAAATTCATGACTTTCTGATTTTATTTTAATGTAGGAAAGGAATGTGCATTTTTATAATAATAATAATAATAATAATAATAAACTTTATTTTATATAGCGCCTTTAAAGGTGGCTTCTCAAAGAGCTTTACAGGATGACAATAACAATAAATAAGAAGAATACAACAATAAAATAAGAAGAATACACAAGATAAGACACAATTATAATATACAATTACAACAATACAACAATTACAATAGAGGAGACCGTGGAAGGTGGTACTAAGAAGAGCAGAGGGGTGAAGAATGGAACCAGTTAAGCAAAGGCTTTTCTGAAGAAGAGGGTTTTGAGTCTGGATTTGAAGGAGTTTAGAGAAGGTGACTCTCTGACACCCTTGGTCAAAGAGTTCCAGAGCTTGGGGGCATAACAGGAGAAGGCCCTGTCACCCATACAATGTAGACAGGCTTGGGGGACAGTAAGGAGGGCAGAATTTGAAGAGAGGAGGTTGCGAGGTGTGGAGTAGGGCGATAATAGTTCAGACGGGTACTGAGGTGCCAAGCCATGCAGAGCCTTATAGGTGAGCATGAGGATTTTAAAGTCTACACGGAATTTGTTTTTTTAAATAAACGTTTCTAAACATCCCCTGTAAAATGTATGCTGTCCTACTGTTTAGCCAGCTTTGTCACAGGTGCAACTACAATGGTGCCAATTACGTTCAGTGCAACAAACTTTGTGGAAGAGGTGTGGAGTGGACCAGAAAGGCTTGGGAGGGGAGATGTTCTTCAACCTACCTCTTCAGCGTGCTGCTCCATGTAGCTAAACACATACTCATCAGCATCCACTAACTGGAATTCCTGGTTGTTGAAACACACTCTTGCTCCCACGTACAGGTCCTCTGCTTTGAAATATTCTGAGCACTGACTCTTAAACAGCTCCTGTCCTGGCTTTTTTATCCGTCCTCTTTCTAAAAACTTCCCTCCAATCATACCTGTTAAGACAAAGCGATCATCCACAAGTAAGAAACCCAGCAGAGCAGCCACCCTTCCAGATTTAGAAACGACTGCATGATTGTACTCAGCGTAAACAAACAAAAACTTTCCATCTATTTCTGATGAAACAAGACTTTTAGGAATTGGAAATTATAAGAAAAAACACTGTGTCCTCCTTGACAATGTCTCAATCTGTTAATTCTACAGTGAATGTATAATTTAATAGTTTTTATTGTTTATTCGTAGCAAGTAACTGATCAATCAATTGATCAGTTTCAAAATGGATAATGGGGACCAAGATACATTTTAAGATACGATTGTTTTAGCACTTATTCCTTATATTAACAATATGTGAATGAGAGATTACATTTTTGCCTGCCATAATGCAATATTACTGATGTATTAAGACTGATAAATAAACATTTACATAGTATGTTACAGAACCAAACCCCTATTTTTATGTTTAAAAAGGGAATGTTATAAAACCTATTTATTAGCAATCCTATCAATGCATTCCCTTGATCTAAAAAATGTCAGAGTGTAACCCCAGCGCCATGGATTAAATATGCTATAAAATTTAAAGTTACTTTCACTGAGACACTACAAACTTCACAGTTTGCCATCCCTTGATTTGCATGCACGAGTTCTTATTTTTACATGCTTTCCATTACAAACAATATTTGTCATTTACAAAAATACCTCACATATGAAAGACAAATCTGTAGTTTATACTCGATTTAATCTTTATCAAATAATTACAGGGTTGTAACATATTTTTACCTGAGTTCCTCTGGGGAGGTTCAAAGATAGAGATGGTGTCATCGCTAAGGTAAAAGGAGATGATGAATTTCCTCTCACTGTCAATAGGGTTATCCGAAACCATTCTGCCAACAAATCTCAGTATGTTGCTCTCCAGGCCTTGTCTGTACAATACATAGGTAAAAGTAATTATTTAGTAATACATCAGTCAGGATAACATTCAACAAACACAAAGTTCTTCCTTCTGAAAATAACAAGATTATAAATCAAGGTTGTGGAGAAACCTAGAAAGGAAAGAACATCTAGAAGAGGCTTTGCAAACAGAAGACATGAGGGTTTCTTCTTCCAAAGGCAAGACTAGGATTAGCCAAACAAAATACAATCACATACAACAGTGGTTCTCAAACTGTGGTACGCGTACAAGCAGTGGTACGCAGAGCGCCACCAGCTGGTACACCATATAACCCTGGAACTGTGTTGGATGCGCTGAAAAATCAGGACGGGTTTTCATATTTTGTATTTTAATACGTGTCGAATATGCAGCCTACATACTACGATACAGTGCGCACTAATACTTCAGTGGACACAGAGCTACTATGTAATTCTATGCCACTCTATAGGAATGCGTGCTACGTACGCAAGTGACCAATTGTATTTAAAACAAAAGCTATGTCCAGCAAATAGGGAGGTAGGAGAATGTGTGTGATTTTGGAACAATGCCAATGTTGTAAACACAGGAATGCATAGAAATACGTGCTACGAACGCTGGTGTTGTTTGTTGTTGTTACTGTTTTTGTTCTGTAAAATGGTTTGAGAAGCCACCTTTAACGATGCTATATCAAATAAAGTTTATTACTATAATATTTATTAAATGTATGTGTGAGTGTGTGCACGCGGGCTCATGTTGGTCATTGAGAATTTCTGGGGTTCCTATGAGATGATGACTTGTAGGTGGTACTTGGATGCTTTTGTTGGATTAGGGGTCGTACTTGGTCCAAAACGTTTGAGAACCACTGACATACAATGATTCTCCTGTCATGAGAGGTTACCGATTAACACGATCAGTAACATCATCATGAGGGAGTTGCACGGTTGATGGATCCTTCAACGTAAGTCGTTTCATTTCACATTTTTAATATTTGTTTTTACACTAACTAAAAAACAAAAGACACGCCTAATGAAAAAGTGCATGTCCATAAAGGAGATGACTATCAATGAGCCAGCTATGATGATAGCAAGACCATATTGCTACTGTGAAATACAGAATAAGCTTTATTTACATTTTAAGTAGGGCAAGCAACAATTTACTTTGCATGATACATTGAACTTTGTGGACTACGTCAAACAGAAAAGGGAGAAGTATTTCAAGCATACTGTAAATGGACCTGCGACAGACAAAACTACCTTCTCCTGAGTCACTCCTCATATTTTACTCTCTGCATTATTCTACCTGTCTTTCTCCATCAGCTTCTTAAAGTCCTTCTGTGGGGGTTTTGGCAGCAATCCTGCGCAGGAGCAGAGAGAATCTTCCTCTGAGCCAAAGCCATTGTAGGGTGGAGGCTCTTTCTGTGGTTTAGGAGCTGGGGAAGCTTTGTACGTCACCGGGGTAAAATCCTCTGGGAAGCAGAGTAAGGGAGATGTTACTTAACCCCATAGATGCAGACAATAACCCTTTAACCTTAGGGAAACCAGATGAGCCCTCAGTCAGATGGGTTTGTCACATGGCTCCATTTAGAACAGCTGTAACTAATGCAAACAGTCTTCAATCAGCATAAAACGGCATGAGGTAAAGACAGAGAAATCCATACAAGACTGATATCGTGTTACTGTTGGTGCCAGGCTCTGGACAACTACATCCAAATATCTGGAGAGAAAGGAGTTAAAAACAAAACTTGATTTTTATTCGCATTAGTCACTTGCATCACTTAAATGCTATACTATTAAAAGGTGAAGCATCAGCAGCACTGATACACCACTTTATTGCCTTGTCCTATCAAAAGTCAGAGGCTTATCAAGACTGGGCCTAGTCAGTACTGGGACTGTGGATTTCTGAGTTTGGTGTCGGGTGGCACCGTCCTTCTGGACCAGACCTTCTGAGCCATGGCCCCAATACGGTGAACAGGGAAATTCTGCTGTATACCAAGATGCTGCGTGATACTGTGTTCCTAAACTTATTAAAGACTTTAAGAAAGAACGGGGGTTTATCCTGATGTTCTGGCTAAATTCCACTCTTTGCTGGTACAATGTAACCTCGCTAAAGTTCTCCCTTAGTTCAGTTTGGCAAGATCCTCGGATCAATCTGAAGGTCTTCCTTCCATTTGCAACCTGGCTTACAATCATCTTCAGTATTTGAAGCCCACATTGACAAACTATACAGTATATTTCACATTTATAGATGCTTATTAGCATATAGTCTACATATATTTCTCATACAAAATAACTGAATACCATCCATCAATTCCATTTCTAACCACTTCTTCCAATTCAGGATCATGGAGAGCCAAAGCCTACCCCTATCCCAGCTTGCAATGGGCGATCGACACCAGACCATCGCAGATAACTGAACACCATGTACTTTAAAATAATTGTAATCATTTTAAAAAAAATGTTCAAATGCAATTTTTTTTAATTTCGTCTCTCGCAGCATTTAAAAATTCTTGTGAACTATTCTCAAAAGAAAATACCACAAAATGATATAAAAGCACAGACAATCTAACAATGCTTATATTTATTTTGCAGTCGTTGAAAAGTGAGTCATTTTCTGAACAACCTGTGATGTTTGAAAACACACCTTTCCAAAGGCAAGACTTGGATTACACAAACATCAAGATTCACTTTTGTTCAGACAAGTTCACTGCTAGCAGTAAAACATACTTTTTAGGTTGCTGACATCTAGTGGTCACACACGTAAGATCTAGCACTTCTAGTGTTGAAGTGTAATGCCACAGATCATCTCACTGAAGAAAAAGCAAATGAGCAAGACCAAACAGTCACATTACCCGTCGCCACAAGAAGCAACACTCATTTTCACAGGAAGCATTCCCATTAGGTGACTAGATACTTTTATCTCGGTAAATAAAAATCTGAGGTTGTGATTCTCTCTCAGAAGAGAGTGGCTTGCTCTCTCCAGGTAAGGGTGAGGGGGGAACAGTGCTCCAACTGTATGAGCTTAAGTACCTCATGAGTTAGTTTTGTTTTGTTCATGAGTTAGGGCAGACCAGAGCACTGGTGCACCAGCTGCAGTAATGCAGACACTCTACAGAACCATGGTGGTGAAGCGGGGGCTGAGTTTTTGGACAAAGCTCTCGGTTTTCTGGCCAATCAGTGTCCCCATCCTCACCTCTGGTCAGTCACAAGCTTTGGGTAGCGACTGAAAGAATGAAATTATGAGTTTCTCTGCAGGGATACTGGGGTTACTCCCTGAGACAGCCTGGGGAGGCCAGCACTGTGGGAGGTCATCAGAGTAGAATCACTGCTCCTCTGGACCGGGAGGAGCCAGCTGAGGTGGTTTGGGGATCTGGTGAGGATGCCCTCTGAGTGAGGGGGGTTCACCGGACCCGATGCACCAGAAAGAAACCTCAGGGCACACCCAGGACATGCTGGAGGGATAGTGTCTTTCAGCTTGGCAGAAGCCCTCAGGAGGTGCTGGAGACAGGGAAGTCTGATCTGCCCTGTTCAGCCTGTTACCACTGCAAACCTCACCAAGAGTAAGCAGTTAGAAAATGAGATGGATGGATATGTAAAATGTGATAGAGAGAAAAATTAATGGTAAGGTGCCTGACAGACTCACCAACACCATATTTTGTGCGGTAATACTCCTTGGTGAAGCCATCACAGTCACAGACGACCACTTTCCTGCCCCACACATTAATCACCGCTCCGATGGTCAGGTCACAGTCCTTGTAGAACTCCTCATGTACAGCACCAGTCTGAACCGAATGGGAAGAACACAAGACACTTACCTGTGTTATCTTCAGTGTCATTATCAATCAATTACACTGGAGTGATCAACAAAAGAGATGTTCCCGACTGGAAGCACATTGTTTGGATGCATCTACTGTACATTTACCCATGAAATTTGGTTTCTATAGTGTACTAGTGTCAAATTAGAGAGTACTGGAAGGCAAAAACATATTACAGATATTGCATGGACAAAAAAAGTAAACTGAGCAAGAAATAGCTGAGAAACATTATAAAAAACATGGGAGACTTTCAATAGATCATACAACAAAAGGTTGGATGTCTTAAACTTTGGAAGACTTGTTTCGGCTTTAATTGTTACTCAGGTAATGGTGACTCATAAGGTTAGGCACAATGCTTTATGTATGAGGATTTCTTATTAGTTCTTCTAATAACTTTTGGCACATCAGATTTTAATGAAAACTTAAGTGAATCTGTTAGAAACGCGTTAATTGCAACAAGTGATGATGAAATCTGAGTGAAGATTGAAAAAGAAGGATAATTCCGGGAAAGCTGTCTGGCAGCTGCAGTTCTCGTCAGGAATCTTTAACCCGTTCCTTACCAGTGATGTAGGTCACAGGGCGTTAGAAGAGGGGAATGTTTGAAAGTCCCTCTCCAGTCCCATGAATCTCACCTGCAAAGCCACCACTGTCCAGCCCAGCAGCAGACATTCACCCACCTTCAGGTTGTCCAGAATGTAGCGTCCACCATGTCCCATTGGCCCAAACACATTGAGGACAGTGCGGTCCGTTATTTCCCCTGGCTGGCGTGTAGGAGGAGGGGCACGCTGGATCAAATTTAGAAAAAAAAAGAATAAATAAACATAGCATAATTTTTTTTCCAAGTCAGAAATAAGGGTAAGTAAGATAAGGAGAAAGCTCTGTGCGCTGAACTTATTGGATCAGAACTCTTGAATTCAAGTATTTTCAAAACTCTGCAGTGAAGCCAAAAAAAGTTAACCAAAAGTCTAAACGAGTAAGAACGATTGCTTTGGACTTATATACAGTACTGTCAGCCTCTTTGATGCTGTTCATCTTTTTCATTTTATGTGGAACAATTAGCATCTCAAGTCAAAAAGATAGCATTTCTTCTTCATAATGAACTAACCCCCTTCCTTCTGTGCATGGGGAGGAATCTATTGTTGCTTCAGGCAACCCTAAAGTTACTGCAGCTCTGTCAACACAGATAGAGATTTTGTGTGGAGAAAAGCAAAGCTTATGCAAGTAGAAAGATCGAAACAGAGACAGGAATTATTCATTGGCCACATGACCCTGTAGCTCAGCCTCATCAGATCCCAGAATTAAATAAGGCTTGACTGCAACACTGCCTTGACTGCATACCTTGAAGCAAAATGGGACTACTGCAAGATCCTGTGCTGGTACTCAAGTAGGCGTGTTTCTTTTTTCTGTGCTCAACTGAATATTTCCAACTAAAGCCCTACTACTATATCAACAGTGGGACCATGCTTTTGAATCATTACAAATCAAAGCCACTAATCATCTAATATTGTGATTTGGAGAATGACAGTACACTATCCACAATCAAAGCCACTAATCATCTAATATTGTGATTTGGA